GTCCAGCCTGTCCAGGTCACGCTGAATGGCAGCACAGCCTGCCGGTGTATCAGCCACTCCTCCCAGTTTGATGTCATCAGCAAACTTGCTGAGGGTGCATTCTAACTCTTCATCCACGTCATTGATGAGTAAGTTGAAGAAAACTGGGCCAAGTACTGACCCCTGGGGGACACCACTAGTTATAGGCCATGTTACTGTCATGATTCCTTTGGGACAAGACCAGAGTCTTTTAGGCTGTTTCACTGGGAACATTGCTGTTTTTCTGCAAGTCTGATTTCTTTTAGTAACTCTTAGACTTAAGAGCCTAAAACACTGGAACCAATAGTGGATGTCTGTAAGAGATTCCCCACGCACCCACCCCCACCCGCCAAACTTTTCCTCATTTTTTCACTTTTTGATTGTCTTGTTTCATTAACTTCTTTCTTTAAACAGAGAGAATCTGTTCCCTGTTCATTAAACACCCATCCCAGAAAATGTAAAATGTTTTCTTTTAAATTGAAAACAAGAGTTCCCTCTTTGAAATGAGACATGCTTCGTCTTCTGTGGTTCAGATGGTTTATTCTGTTTTCTGTGAATTTGAAACTTTATACGGCGACTGGACTTTGGTAGAAATTTTGGTCCATTCTGACGTCCAAAAAAAGCACAGAGTCAAGGTATGCTAAAAAAAAACCACGTCAGGGTAGCAGACCGCTTTCAGGGCTCTGGCTTCTGCTGTTAATGTAGTGAAAATGTTCACCTTAAAAAGGCAAAGGTGAAGGATTCATCGCTGATTTGTCATTGTGTGCCCCACTTCTGCCTCGAATAGTACAAAAGTAACAGTTATGACGGTGTATCCATGGTGTCCGGTCCGATAGTGATTCCCCAGCAGAGCCGGTTTTGCGAAGCCGAGGATGCGTGTGGTGGGGAGCGCGCCAGATTCTTCCCGCTGGAGCAAACAGAGCCGTCATCTGGAAGCGTGTGGCCTGGAGAGCTGCCTTGGGTGCAGTCCTCTGTCACTCCCCGGGTGCTGTAAGAACCCGGACTGACAGCCTTCAGGTGTCCTTGTGCTGCGCTTGGCTGCTCATTTGGCATAGGGGAAAAACCAGCCTCAGCTGTCCATAGTTTCGGATTTGGTTTTGGTTTTTTTCAAAATATGTTTTAGGAGGTTAGCTGGTGCTGTTATCCTTCTCCATGTCATCCAGCAATATACTGCTAACTACAGTCAGTAAAAGCACACATGCTGGCATGGTTCTGAACATTTCTTTCTTCCTTTAAATTAGAATTGCAGTTTTTCTTTCAAATGATGGAATTTTACCTTGCATATCACATAATGTTTTTGGGGAAAAAAAAAAAAGGAAATTCCGTTCAGTCAATTTAGCAAAATTAATTTGTTTCTAGTTTCTACTTGAACCAAAAGAATCTGGTGTTGCCTGTTTCAGACACATAGAACAAGTTTTACAGTACTGTATGCTTGGCTTCATGTCAGGTCATCTTTCTTTTAATCCTATCTCCTCCATATTTGTATCTTCTCTCTAGGTAGCTTTGCCTTTAGGGCCTCTTCACGTTTTTTCAGTTTTCTCTGGGTTGTGTATCCTCGCGTATCAGTCACACCAAAGCAATGCGTTTGTGCAGCCCCCTCCCCTCTGCATGGGTCACAAGCAGATTGATCAATTTGAACGTCAGCTCAATGTGCTCTAATTATCATAGTTCTCCAATTTCTAACAAAGCGATCCATTTTTCTGGTTTTCAGACAAAGTGGACTCTGAACTGCTGCAAGGTTATAGCAGGTACCTGCCGCGTGACACTGTCATCGTGACTGTGAAAGTAGCCATACTGTTTGCTGTGCTTTTGACAGTCCCACTGATCCATTTCCCAGTAAGTGCTCCTCGGCGTTTTGGAGCTGGCAGAAGCACTGGTAACGCTAATGCTTTGCAGACTGCAGTGCTGGAGTCACATCTCGTCTTGTGTATCTTATTCACTTGTCAAGCGATTGATCAAAGACCACATATTTGCATATGTTCCATGAGAGCTTCAAAATAACAACTAACCACTAAGCTAATTTGTGCTCTTGAGACAGATTTCAGATTAAAACTAGCCCACAGCATTGTTTTTAATTTAGAGAATTCAGAACTTCTAAAGTTTATTTAGTTTGATTCTCCCCCCCTCCTTAAATTGAGTTTTGCTGACTTGATTTTTCCTTTCTACATGCACTCACCCACACACAAACATACTTGAAAACTCAATTTAATTTTAAATTAAAAACACATATTGACCTATTTCACCAAAAAATGTACTTTAGTTTGTCAATACCACGGTAGAACTGAAAATTCGTTGTTGTGACCAAAAACAATTGTGCGTGCAAAACTATGTATATAGAAGTAGTGTATAGATTACGTATCAGCAAGGCGTGCTCAGGGAGACAAAGCGTTATCCCCCAGAACTTCTTTTGTCGCTGCAAAAAAGGGATAATTCCTTAAGACTAATACCACGTGATAAATACTGCTTTAATACTAAAGTGAACTCTGTGCTACAGAAAGACCAGACATTTAACTATTCTGTTTTGCATTTTGATGCTTAAAATTGTCACATTTGGAATGATGTCATTCTTAAGTTTGTGAAATTGAGATAAGATTAAAATATATGTATATATAAGATTAAAATATATGTATATGTATACATTTACCCATACAGTGTTTCTCTTCATCTTACGTAGGCAAGGAAAGCCGTATTGATGGTATTTTTCTCTCATCTTCCCGTGTCCTGGATTTGCCATATCCTTGTCACTTTAGCACTGAATACCATTGTTGTTTTGTTTGCAATGTACGTCCCAGACATTAAAAATGTATTTGGAGTAGTTGGTAAGTTGTTGTGGTTGCTTTTGGTTTTTCTAACTTCTAAAAATTTGGTATTATTATGATTGTGACAATATTATGATGATTGAGATTCGGCATTACTTCAATCTTGCTCTAAGTAAAATTTTACTTTCTGTTTTTTAAAGGTTCAACCACATCAACATGTTTGCTGTTTGTATATCCTGGACTGTTTTATCTTAAACTTAGCAGAGAGGACTTTCTATCACCGCAGAAACTTGGGGTATGCTTTTTTTTTTCATCTGTGCTAATGGTATTTAAGCAGGCTCCTTTTCGATGCATCTTAATACATTGCAGAGCACCTAATCCAAGGGGCAAAGTTCTTGTTTTCATTGCAGTTCACAAAATCTGTGAGCATTTTCTTTTATCCTTCATGATGGAGCTAGTCTTTCTGAAACTCCTTCTTCAGAAGAGGTTTTAGAGTAACAGTGTGTCCCTGTGCCAGCTGCTGATCCGAGTACATGCTTTTCCCTATAGTTTTCAGATGTTGACTTCTAATCCAATTTCTCCTCAGTTTTTACGCATTACTCTGATGTTGTCTGGGCAGCTGGGACAAAGCCAAACTGCATTTAAGTGAAACAGTGTTTACGCTTGTTTTCTATGTAAGCCTTCTCAAAAACATCTTTTTTTTCCCCTTCCTTTTTTTTTTCCTCCTTCTCCTCTTTGTGGTTTCTCTGGTGGTGTGGTAGGTTAAATTCTAGTTGGAATTTGTGCAGCGGCCTGCTTTTTGCACTGTAAGCGTTTGTCTTCGTTTTAACCGCTGCTCAGCAGAGCAACTTCGTGACAGCAGCTGAAACACTGGCAGTCTTTTTGTACATAGGCCTTCTGCCAGTCATGTGATTTACAGAGCTGCTCTTGTATTGACAAAATAGGGAACCTGAAAGAAAATGTAATAATGATGCTCTCTGACCAGTTAAAGTCTGGACTGGTTCCAGCAGACTGGGGGCCTTGTTACGAATCGGCAATCTTTTGCCTCTTGGATTGTGGTTTTGTTATCATCTGGCTGTTCAGAAATGTAAAGAATCCATTGTAACTTGAATTATATTTTTGGGTAAAACACAAATGCAGTTTCTTAATCATTCAGAGTTGTAAAGGGCAAATGAGTCGTTTTTTTTTTTTTGCAGACGGATAGTGTGAGCAAGCAAAGCAGGCTGCTCTGAGAGCTCCCAACGGAGCTGTCCCAGAGCAGGCTTAGCTCGGTTTCCCCCTAAGCAGATACCTTGTGTTTGAAGACTGAGCAATTTGAAACGCTTAAGATGATTTTGAAAGACACTATTTAAACCTGGTCTTACAGTTTTTTTCATCATTAGTCATAAGCCTTAGAAATGTAAAATGCTTCCCTCAATAAAACACCAATTTTTGCTTTTCTTTCTTCACAGGCATGCGCTTTGGTTATTTTTGGCATTGGTGTTGGCCTTCTCAGTTTAGTTCTAATAATTTTCAATTGGATTGATCAATAACAGCCTGTTGCCACTGCCTGAACAGAACTTCAGAGGGACATCAAGAACCAAAGACGTGTCAAAACTACTGAAATGAATGCTGGACTTCTTAAAGGAAACACTGACCAAAGCTGTCTGTGGAAGAAGTAGTGCCCTTTTTCCCTGGATTAGTGATGTTCCTTCTTTAATCTTGAGTCACTCTCTTCAGTTATTGGACAATTAGTCTGTGCCATTCTAAAATACTGTTTTTTAATGATGTGATCATGACAGGTAAAAAGGTCTCTTGAGAATTTCTGCAATGTAAGAATGGTTTAGTGCACATGCTGAACAAAAGCAGAACCTTAAAATAACTTCTCTTTTAAAGACAAGGAGATGGATAGGTGTTACATCAGTCACGTTGTGCATATCGTGACGTGTGCATTTAGGCTAATTAATTATCCTAAACCGTGAAAGACTTCTAATGCTTGAATAATTTCCCAAATTTCAGCCAGTTCATATGAAGAACTTCCTAATTCCAAATGTTTACCCTAGTTTATCCTAACACGGATCCAGAAACCAGCTGCCTTAGCCCAGTTTAATGGGCACATCATGGTATTTGTTAATAGCTTTTTTAAAATACAATTTTTTATACCTAGGTGTATTTGAATCATACTGAAGTATTTTTTAAATTAGACGGCTTTGCCCATCTAGCAGAATAGCTTTAGTGGCATTGGGAGGTAGTTCCATTTTGCAGTTAATGATAGACATTTTACAAGTAATATCTGCTTTTGAGTGTTATTTGATGTACCTCAGTATTCCTCCCAGTGAAAGACTTTTTTCTTTTTTCTCTCTTATTCCCATTTTTATAAACGTTTCATATTTGAAATAGAGTGTTCCTATATTTTATGTACTGTTGTGTGTCAGAGAAGGTCTGGGCTTGAAAGGTAAAATTCTGCCTCTGTTGAAGACAAAGGAATTTTACGTTTATGGAACCCTAATTTTACCTCAGATCTCTATAAACTTCCATGTACTGTGTTGTAATTACTTTTTTTTTTTTAACCTAAATGAAATGTGAATGCAATTTTCAACACCAGCTGGGCTCTGTTCAATATGGTATTGAGTGCCCACCACAGAAGTTCCTCATATTGGCAGAATGAAAGCAGTGGCTGATATCATTGTAAAGTTTCTAAAATTTGTTTCTGTCGGATGGGATCTGATGTCTTTAACATAGCCTGGTCTCTTCAGAGGCTTTGTGCCCCGAGGAAGCTAAGACTCCACAGAAATAGCTTGTGTAAAGTTAAGAAATTGGACTTCAGCCTTGAATAGCAAGATGTAGAGAATGGGAAGGTTTGTCATTATTTCCAGATGCAATATTTCTTTTAATTTAGCTTGGTGCTTTTGCATCTGAGAAGTGGAATAAGACACAAGTGAATCATAGCAAAGTACTACGTTTATGTAATATGAAAGCAGCTCGTAAGTGACATTTAAATAAATTTGTCTGTCGGTAAGGTGCACAGTTAGGAAATTAATTGCTGTTGCCAGAAAGTCCTGCTGAGACAGTTCGATTAACATGGGGACTTAGTTTTATCAGTTGAGGTAGGGAGACGCTCCAGAGCCTGGTGTTTCTAACTTCTTAGCCGTGGGTCTGTGTTATTAACTTTTAAAATTATGTCACATTGGATTTGGAGAACGCTGACTGATGTGCCAACTTTAACATAATCCTGATTGAATGTGCTTGGTCCTCACCTGTCCAACAGGGAGGAACAGCGAATCGCAGAGTTGGGATCACCACCTCTGTTCCTGAGCTGACAAAGTAGGGTTTCTGATGCCAACAGACGACTGGGCTCTCTTGGCATCTGTCAGACACTTGTCATTTTTGATAGAGGCCTGAAGGCACCCGGGTGGTACAGCTTGGTACTGCTGCAGGAGTGCCTTTTGGGGAATATTCTTCTGCTTGGGAGTTTAATATAGAAATAGACGTGTGGTGAGGCCAGGGAACCAACTCGGAAGTTTTGGTAGGGTCCCAAAGAAAAGGATCCCTGGCAAAGACCGTGGTTATTTTCATGATAAAGTTTCTAGCAGAGGTTTCACGACACAAGGTGAGCTCTCCAATGGTTTGGCAGTACCAGAAGCAGCGTGTCTGGCCAAGTTCGCACCTACTTCTGTGGCGCTGGCAGTGGCTGCTGGTCAGTGTGTGTAAGTAGCAGAAAACCAGTGTCACTCTGAGATGTGACACGTTACCTGTCAAAAAAGATGAATGGAGTGCGCTTGCTTGGGGGACAGGAAAAGTGAGAGGGGGGGCAGGAGCAGGAGTGCCTTTTTGAGCAGCAGCGGGCATTAGATAGCACATTTTCCTCATAAAACCTCACGCTTGGCCCCGTGGTTTTGCTTCAGCAGGTTGTGTGTGTGCGTGCGCATAGGGGATGCCTCTGACTCGAGAGGTCTCTGGCCTCTGTCCGTCAAGGGAGCGATCAGGCGTTCTCAGCATGGTGTTGTCCTGATGGTCGGGGCTCCTCGTCCTGCCTCTGTTCTTGCAGCTCTCCCAGGTTGTTTCGCTCCTGCCAGCCCTCTGGAGCTGCCGTGCTGCCTGCCGCTGCCCTCCGAGAGCAGCCTGCTCCAGGCTGCGTTATGCTGTGGGCATTCAGCCGCTCAGGGTAGCTCTGGCAGGAGCGTAAAAAGCTGAATATTTACCCGCTAGAAGTGTACCTTGAGAAAGCAAGGACAGCTGCCCGTCAGGAAGTGATTTTCTATCGGACTGAACCAAAACTTTTTAAGGAAACGGGAGACCTGGCATTCATGTGAGTGAACTACAGGGCTTTTTCAGATGCTAGAATTTAGGAGGAGTATTTATTAGAAATCTTATGGAGATTGTTTCTCATTTATCGTATGCTCTTGTAGCATACTGTTGAGTAATACTCACAATCACTGCAGTCACTTCATTTTGTAAACTCTCGCCAGCAAGACTTCACACTGAAGACTTAGTTTATCTGTGAAGGTGCCAAAAGTTGGCAAAGTTTTGCTAAGTTTCTGCTCCTCCCTCATCCCCCTCAAAAAGCCGAGTCTTGCCCTGCACCGTGATGCTCTGCTGGGTTTGTGTGCATCACCTTAAAAAATATGACTGAGGAAATACCTGAAACACAGTGTTAATTTTACAGTTGATTCCTGTAATGCTGCGGAAAGTACCACATTATTGTTTTTAATCCCGGAGTATTATCCTAACCAGCCTGGCTGTTAGCTGGCTGTCCTAATAGGTAGAGGTTGGAATGATGAATACCAGCGTATGAAGTTAATACTCGGGGAGGATGAATGGGAGCAATTCACACCTCTGCTGGAGATCTGTTGTTACATTTTGGCTGCAGCGCAGAAGGGATAGGAGCACAGGGGGTCACAGAGTGTATGTTATCTTTCATAAGATAGCAAGAAAGAAGAAAAGAAGAAAGGAAAAGAGTTAGAAATACTGCTACTTTTAAGTTGCTATGATACATAACTTAAAATACAGAGAGAGGGAGGGGCACAGAAGGAGAAAGAACTTCTATTTTGTAATTTAGATAAAGGTATGAGTGTTTTCCACAATGAAAAAGGACAGTAAAGACACTGTTTCTATCCTTTACATCTCCCAAACTGTGCTGTTTGTTGTGTCTGTGTAAAGGTTTCACCACAGTTGTGCACAAATGTGATTTTTTTGTGCAAAGCAGGCCTCCAGTCTGGAACTCGCTGCTCACTCACATGTTGCTAAATATATTTTTTCTTGTGTACATATTTTTTTCCCCTGGATTTCCAGATCTATAAAATTCCAGTGGTTCTGCTGTATGACCTGTAGTTAGCATTTTCCAGTCCTCTTTTCTGAAGACTTGACAGGAATGGATGGAGGGGCCAGCAGCATTCTGAACAGGCTTGGAAAGGCTGCCTTTCCCCAGCTGGACAAGAGCAATGTAAGAGCTGAAAATTGATTGGTAGCCTTTGATTTGTTTTCTCCCATTCACCAATTTCCATTCCTTGTCCATCTGACGGCTGCTCCAATTTCAGATGACTGTGGTAAGCTGGGTGTGGAGAGTGTCTCCTGTAAACAGCACTGCAGGAACGAGTGCTGCAAAACAAAAGCGCTCTGAACCTGCCTTGGTGGTGGTGTGGGAAATGCTTGCGTTCTATTAACATGTTCCTAGGCGGTTTGTATCTTAATATATTGATTTTCATGGCAATGAGTTTGTTTAAAATTCTCTCTTGTGTTTAAAATTCTCTCTTGTGTCCCTGTGTAGTGAAAACTGAGAGACTGTGAAACTGTCCTGTCCCCTCTGTGTCCCTCCTGTCGCCTTCCCCTTCGCTTCAGTTTGGTGTCAGTACCGGTTCCGCGGCGCTGAGCAGGAGCATGCCGTTCCTTGGGCAGTCTGAGCGATCCTTCGGGGCTGCAGCCTGGCTGAGAGGGTGGGGATTCGGGAAAGCACCGTTTTATCCATGCTCTCCAGGCTTGATTTTCACTGCGTGTCCACCGCTGCTCACCGCTGACGGTCAGTGCTGGACGTGGGCAGAGCTTTTTGGTGTGCCCGTCTTGTCTGTTCCTGTAAGGATTTGCCTTTTTGAAACATGGAGACACCTTAACTTTGTGACGTGGGAAGTCTGTGCCAGTTTGGAGTTCTGAATTCATTTATGTCATGTGTGATATACTCGAGGTATGCCCTACCCTGGCAGTCCTCCTGGCGAGGGTGAAAGCATAGTGGTGCGATGGGATCTCTCATTGAGCTGCTGGGGCAAATGTTAAATCCTTGAGCAGCTCCCGAGAGCGTTGTTTACATGAGAGAGAAGATGGGCTTGGGCTTTGTTACGGTGTTTCTCATGCCATGCAACGTTCCGTTGCGGATCTGGAAGTTGGTGCTCCCACTGCTGTGGTCCATGGAGGCTGCGGGGCCGCAGGGCAGCCGTCCGTCCACGCTTGGCTGTGGTGAGGCTCCGTAGGCATCTCCCCTGGCTGAGGGAGAGCAGGGTTATGGACTCGTGAGGGTATTTTGCCTGACCCAGTATGGCCAGTCTCATTCCAAATCCCTAAA